TCGCAAAAGTGTCTTCAATAATTTGAGCAAAAAGTTGATACGCGATAATGTTCCATTATTTTTTTATATATATGAATGCATTCAGACACATAATGTCTGAGAAATATCTTTTTGTAGTACTTTTTGAGTCGTTTCTTTTCTTGCTGTGCAGTACGCTATGATAATTCCATCGCTCATGTCCACTCCACCCATTTTTTTATTATAATCAATCACTAGTTCCGGTTTCTTTGCTATTATTTTTCTTTTCTCTGTTTCTATTACGTTGTCATTATGTACAATACTTACTAAATAAACGTCCTTCTTATCTTTCCATTTCATTCACATAATTTACGCATGACGAGTATACTCGTCAATACACAAAATCGTGACGCTTCTCCATAACGAGTATACTCGTCAATCACAGTTAACTGGTTAACATATTGGAAGCAGATCTTATTGGAAATCGTCAAGAAGTCGCAAAGTTTAGTTGTTTTTCATTTTTAACTGTATTGTCTACAAGTCACGGCTAGTAAAGTTTTGTGTCAGTTTTTACCTGAGACTTACTTTATTAAAGCCGTTAGATGTAAAGATAAATAGTTCCCCATTAATTTAATATCATAGAAGTTATAAATATTACGTAGATTTGTGCTTAATTATGGAAAATAATGATGTGTCAAAGAAATCGAAATTTAGCTCTCACCATGTTTCATGTCAAAAATTACATGTACTGGAGCTTTGACTTCCAATTCTTCATCTGAGTTCTTTGTATCCCAGGGAGTATAATAATACGCTAAATGTTGACTGGTGATGTCCAGAGCCATCTGCAAATTTATAAGAATTAGCTGTTTTAATAATATTAATCAAAAAATAAGAGCTGTTCTGCAAAAGTAAAAAATTAAAAAGGAATCTGGACGTTTTATATAATGTTTATCCACGTGCAAAATTATATGTAAGAAAACAATGTTTATTAGCATTATAATAATTTTGAAATTTAAATTTAAAAAAATCATGTATCACTTTTTTATTGCTGGATAAGTTATTAAACAGAACGTATTAAACGAACAGATATATACCGTATCCATAAAGTTTCTTATGCAGCCTTTATTTTTGCAATCATTGGTCATTGATATATATTTCCAAATATATAAATGTTTTAAATATCGCACATATATTCACATTTTGACATTTTTAAAGTAAAAAATCAGTTTTTTAAAAATTACGAGATGTAACTTTTTGTACGTTTTGTACGTTCCAAGTTTGTATTCATTCTATTAAATAAATCACATAGATTTTACTCCTTTACGACGACAAAAATTTATGAAGATATTTAATTTTTAAATTCTGGAACTTCGTCATCTTTTACTGCTTTCCTTGAGGGGTTGGTTAAAAATATATTATTATAATTGAAGCTAAATATTTTTACCCTCTTTAATACCATTCAATGATTATCTATTGCGTAACTTTCTACAGTTATAATTTTGCGATATTTGGCAAACCGAAAACCCTTCACACAAGTAATTTATAAATTTCTTTATACTAAAAATTCATTAATAATATTGGTGCTTCCTTATTATATTATAGCGGGTTCCAAGACTGAATTGCTATAAACCGAGATCTCGCCACGTGTTCTTATATTTTAACATCATGTTTCATTTTTGTTAGATTTTCGAATTCGCATTTTATATATATATATATATATTCTTTGCTTTTTTGTGCATATGCGGTTAACAATCTTTCATTTATCGAATAAAAATGTGGATGCTATATCATTTTTTCAAGAAAGAGGACTTTCACCTGAGAAACAAGTACGCAAAAATAGCTACAGCAGGAAACTGTAAGTTAATGACGAAACCATTTGTATATGCAATGTTAAAAAAAACGTAATGTAAGGATCTTAAGTTTTACTAACGTTTATTTTGTTTTAAATCTTTACTATCACTTCTTATTTTCTACTTCCGGCCAGAATTAAAAGCGTTAACTTATTTATGCAAAATTTGTCTGGCGAACGCCAAGTACTTAAGTTGTGGCTTTTTGCCAAGCGAGAGAGAGAGGAAGGAGTTAGTCGAAGCAGGCCGCTTACCTTAGAAGTTTTACTCAGTTGCTGGTTGCCTTCCAGGCCAGAGGTTTAATCCTCTTGATAATTTTTAAACGTATTGTAGTGTTAACAGTTCTCTGTACTACATACGGCTTCCTGTTAATATAAGGCCAATCTTCCACGTTTATTATTTCAAAGTTAAGTTAGAGTTTAGTTCTATTTTTATATTCTTACGTTTAGACCACAAGTAGTGGGTCTTTGTATTCCGAAGTACGGAAATTATTGTAAATAGAGAAAAATAAAGGGTTTTGTATACCCTTCTTGTGTATCCTGTCTACTTACCACAGTTATTGAACATAGCTTTAGTAAGCTCTCTGTTCCGAGTCAGGTCCTTGCATGTTCCCAAAGAAAGTAAGACGGAACATTGAACCTGATAGTAAAAAGGTCTTCCTTGTTAGAGACTGGTTTAGTGGTGTGAGGTTTTATCTATTTACTGTGAACTAATGTGGGAATCGTGCCTCAACGAAGCACCAGATGTCGTTATCTATCACTACTCTGTAGGAACTCTCCAGGTTCCAGGATCTTCAGTTGGTTCGAGAAGTCCGAGAGAAGCTGTCTGACAGAACGCTCGCGAAGAAGCTACAACTAGACGCTTACTAGTCGCGCGTAGACGATCGGACTTGGAACTTATCTAAAGTGACCGCACGTAGGTGGTCAGCTGTGACTTTTACATCTCCATAGTGGAACCAGTGTTGATTACTCTCCTAAACATATTTAATCCATTTGTACATACTCATTCCGTTTATCTTTTCTTCTATGAACCAGTAATAATAATAATAAAAAAAAACTGATACTTTGAATCGTGAGTGTGATCTCTGTTTGATGATAAGACGTCACCCTCACACTAATAGTTAATTTTAAGTTCAGTTACTTTTCTGTCACCCTCTTTTCACCCACGCTTTTTATGCCAGAACGTAAATGAAATATAGAGCGTTTGAGGGAGAAAGAAGTGCTGTTTAAACGATGGTTACGCAAGTTGATTTTAGAGCGTGTTCTGCCTATTTCAAGTCACGTTGTACCGTGACTTATTAACGATTTGATTCTGTGACGTTGAGTGCTTCTAGTCATTTAGTTTGTCAGGCCAGTTTTCTACAAACCAGAGCCTTTCCTGCTCGTTTAGACTATCCTGTGAGCCGTTAGGGTAATCTATTACATTTAAATTAGTTCAACATTACGTATTTGAGTTAAGCTTGTGTAAAACCAAGTTGGGTCATTGTTATATCTTATGTTCAAATAAAAGCGTCTTATACATCCTTAATCTGACATTGTGTTCTTGTATTCTCAAAATCAGAAGATAATTCTTCTATAGTCTTTTTAAAGTCTTTGGTTTATGCTCCCAGAGAATACCAGACTTTATACTGGCGCATGACCTATAAAAAGAACTAGTATGTCTCAGGAAACTTCAGCTTTTAGCTTTTTGCCCTAAACGTCGCAAGGCCCGGCGGCCATGGAGGAATTTGGATTTATTGTTGACATTCTTAGAGCTGCTATGAAACTAGTAGCAACTTTTGAAGAAAAAACCTCTGATGTTTTTAATTATTTGAAGAAATTGGGCACTGTTATAGCCATTTTACAAGAATGATTAGCTGTATTTGAATATGTGTTCTTATGTTGTAGGAATACCTGTCAATTTGTATAGATTGAAATTGTTTATTTGTGCTATTTATAATTGTATAATAGAAATTTATTATTTTAACTGCCATAAAAAATTAGTTGCAGTTTTTTTTTTATTTTTTTTATTAAACATGTATACTTGTAGTATGTTTGATTGGTAAATATTCTAACTGTAATAAAAAATTAGTTGCAGCATTTGAAACATGTGTATTTTTATGGTATGATGATTGGTATATAATATGTGCTGAATAATTGTGTATTTTATGTCTATTTTAATTGGGAATTAGTTCCTGTTTTCCATTAGACGTTTTATTTTAGAATATAATGCTTTATATTGTTGGAATACCGGTCAATTTGTATTGACTGGAACTGTTTAACAAATCTGTAGTTTTTGCACAATTTAGAATTGTATTGAAAAATTTAAGAATTAGTTTCCTTCTTTATTTATCATCTGGGAACCAAGTCATTATTTACAAAACATTTGCTTCTGTGGATAATAGTAAAATAGTGTACATATTACAATGAAATTCCCAACTGCAATTTCGTGATTGCCTTGTGGATAATTGCGACACAGTGTGCAAATTGCTATGGACGCACATAATGAGATGTGCAAACTGTTAAGGACACGAAGTTATGATGTTTCGAAGTGGACAAGTAGTATTTATTTGAACGCTGAACTTAACAAAAGTGAACATAGAATAGCTTACACAACATCATATACTTTGGGCTATGGAACTATCAATTGCCTGAACTGATGTGACTGGCTTACTCTGTGGATAACTGCAAAAATAATACGGACACACATCATTAGGTGTGTAACTGATAAGAACATGAAGTTATGACGTATTGAAGAAGACATAGGTTTAAAAACTGTTAATATATAAGTTTCACTCTCCACAACATAGATCCTAGCCATGACAATGTAATTATTACTTGATCGTATATTTATTTTCATGCGGATTATTATGTAGCAATTATTGTATAGATGACAGTGTCAATTTAGCATTGTAATATTACTATCATTGATTCAGTGAATGCCGCTGGCGGTGGATGGTAGATTCTTTTCCGTCGCATGGACATATAACTCTGATTGGTGTAGAACCTTAGGGCGGAGGTCTATGCGACTGCGTATCAGTTTTCTTGAGCAGTTAAATTCGCATTTTCTGCTCGTCCAGTTCAAGGAGCGCAGAAAATTACGATTGCGACGTCCGTCCGTCCTTAGAGGCTAGGCTTCTGCGTGGTATAAATGCATTGGCAAATTTGTCTTGGGTGAGTCTCGGAGCGAAAGCTACAACTTCGAGAACTTTAATAAGCAGGAATTAATTAAAGCGTATCATACAGTGAAGGACAGAGCCGAGCTCGAGTCAGAGCTAGTCAGCAAATTACAAGACAAAATTGAGGAGCTGACGGATTTTATCTTGCGGGAAGTTCAGATTTTTAATATGTTGTCCGGCAGGAGGAAGGAGGAAGAAATTATTCAAATAATTTTGCCACGACTCTTAAACCAGGCTCAAGAATACTTCCAGCTTTGTAATCCAACAGCATTGCAAAATTTATTTAAATTAACCACAAATTTCCAAAATCGACGCGTGGCAGAAAAAAAATCGAATGACCAGGTACGCTGAGAGGGCAAAGAGCAAAGTTTTAGGCCAACGCCTCTTCAGAAACTGCAGTTTGGACCGAAGAAGAAATCTGAAAAGGAAGGAAAAAATTCAACCGGGAATAGCGGGGGCAGAAAACAAGTAAACAGAAAGCAGGGGGACAAGTTAAACTAAAATGGGATGCTGGGGAGAGGATGCAGTCACTCCAGAATAAGGAAAAACCCTCAGCAATTAAATTTACTGTAATAATAAGAAATATGGAACTGCCAATTAGTGTAAGTTTTTGTTAAATAATATCCCAGCTGAAGGTCTCATTGATACCGGAGCTCAATGCAATTTGATTTCGGAGACTTTCTTTCTTTAAATATTCTGGTGTGTATGTTACGGTGAAACACCGAAATCTGGAGAACGTCGACTTTTACCGGTGAATGTCGACTTTCAGCGGTGAAGGTCAACATTCACATAGTCTCTTGGTGTATGTCCGAAATATTTTCCAAATACTCTTATTTCT